TACAAACTACTTTGCCGCAAACCACAAAACGCGCAAAACCATTATTTAAATAGGGCGTCTCCAACAGTTTTGCACTTGCCACCAGTTACGCAATCACTCTTGTTAAATCACCCGCAAACCATGGTTCAGCCCCTCGCGCAAAATTCCAGTTCGTGAGCGCAAATTACTGCACGCAAAATTAGATCTTGATAAATCCGGCCCACTGTCTTTCTTGTTGGGGGTATTTTTCCAGCAGTGAAGAGTTTTGCTGTCTTAGACTTACAATATAATCTTGCACTGAAAAATTTAGTAATTTCAAATTCTTTAATTTGAGAACATTTATTATGTGTGTGTGGCGGGGGGGGGGATAAATAGATCAAATTTTTACACTTTTATTGGTACTCATAATGATCCCTTTATAAATCAAATTAAAGGATTCTTCAAATGTATGCATTTATTTTGGAGATCAGAGTTTTAAGGTATTTTTTTTTCATAAAATCAGCAGCTTTTTTAAAATTTTGTCCTTGGGCTATAAATGTGAGATGCCAATCTACTCCTCTTAGTCACTGTCAGTTAGGATAGACCAGGGCTCTTTGTGAAGAAGGGTCAAAAGTACAAAGGTGCATACAGAGTATTGATAGCAGGTGTACCAATAATATTACCACTGGTGAATAGATATAGAAGTTTTTTAGATCTTTATCAGCGGTGCTGACATGTGTTTCCTGCATCCTGCTCCCTCATCATGTTTATGTTTGTTGGTTGAGTTCCTCAATATAACTAAGTCTGAGATAAGCAATTAATTACCTTCAACTCCTGTTTCATGTCTGCGGCTCCTGCAGCATCCAACACCACTCATTAATCCCCTTTTCTCTCTTTGCTGTTTTTTTTCTTCTTGTTATGCTAAAATTAAACATTGCAGATTTTCCACCATGCTGCCAATGTGTTTAGCTCTAATGAATACCAAACAAATCTGTTCAAATTGCTCAAAAACGTTGCGTTAAAATAAGAAATTCAGCTCTTTTTTTTTTCTAAGTTCTGCTGTCTACTTTTTGTTGTCAGGATCAGTCATAACATCCATCCGGTGTGCTTGAATTAAATTTAGCCCCTGTGTTCAAGTGGAGAGAAATCTACAATAATAGATGAAAGCCTCAGTGGTTGGTGCTGCTTGTATCTGACAGGGTATAGCAGCACCAGATTGATGTGTGTGTTTGTATAAGTGTCGGTGTGTTCAGGTGAGAAGTAGAATTTTATTTGTGCATCGCAGTGAAAGGAAGCGGAAGCGTTTCTGCTTTAAGGTGATAATAGAAACAGAGCAGATGCCTATAAAGTGTGTGAAAGGTCTAGAGAGCGTAAAGTGAGGGGTGTTTATAAGACCCAGCTTTAGCCCCTTTTATTCACAGCCTTTCTCTCACTTCTCACCTGTGCCTTTTGCTCGGACTCACCTTTAACACGAGTTTCCGCTCCACTGTCTTAATAGATGGATTCTTCCCAGCCTGCCTCAAGTTAGAACTTTAGTTCATCCATCCAAACATTGGAGCCAAACCAACCAAAAGACACTCCAAGTTTAAAAATAGTATATATATATTTTAACTTGAACTAGTTTTTCAGGAAATTCTTAGAAGAAAAATTTGCAAGCTTCCACTTCTTCAAATTGCTTCGCACAGCAGGTGAGCGTCATTCTTTCTTAACTTCTCCAGCAGCAGCGACACAGCTGGAGACTCAAAAACACTTTTTTTTAAAAACCTCCCTCTCTTTCCTTATCCCACCTTCAAGCAGAGCTTTTTAAGTTGGTTGGAAATGCCTTATTTATCTGAGGAGAAGCACCTGAAATCATACGTTCACAGGGTCTAATGAGGCACCGTCACACCAGTTCGCTCTGGGCTCCCCAGCATGCGGCCTGCGTGTCACTGTATGGGTGATGGGGAGGTTAGGGAAGTGTGAAGATTTTACCCATCGAAGAGATGAGATGCTGGCCACCGTGCCTTTGGCTGCCTGTCACAAATGCTCAAATTAGCTATTTACCTCTAGCTCAGCTCCGACATCCACAACTGGATCCATCACAGGTGTGCATCTTTGTCAGTACCAGGTATTGCATGTGTGCCAAATATGGTTGTCTGCTAAAAGTTCAAAGGAGGGTCAGTTATTCCCTTGACTGTAGCATCATTCATTTATTATTTTATTTAGTGGAAAATTCAGCGGACATGAGTTGTTTGATTTTTATTTTTAAACGGTTCCTTCGTGTTTTTGCAAGTTTCTGATTCCCTCAGATGTACATTAACACCTCTGGGAGCAGTTACTATAGCAAAGACACTGTTTTCTTTTTTTTTCTGATTCTCTATATACTGACCAGTCTTAAATGCCAATATTTGTCTTTCCCATATGTGCAGAGAGCCTGCTAGCTAAGAGTCTCTGATGATTCAACATTTGATCAAACTGCAGTAAACGATCTTAAAAACAGGTGATTTCATTTAATTAGTGTGAAACTGATAGAATAAAAACCCAGTAAGTTTTGATCTCATTAGCTAAATTTGATATTAAATTATTTTGCAGGTCAATATGCATAACTTAGTGACTATGTGAGGGCTGCCTGTCTCAAAAACTCTCCTATGTAACTTGAGCGGATCAAATCCATCACCAAACGAGTCGTGTGACTGAAAGCGCTGCTTTAAGACAGTCTGGGCTAATTTTAAATACGAGACCTAACCCTAAAAAAGTATTTGTTTGGCAGCGAAATAGACATATTTTTGGTTTTCTGATGTAGGATGTAATCTAGAGGGGAGAATGTGGCCCTGAATTAACAAGACTTACAAGACTTCTCAATCTGCTGGTCTGAAGTGGTCTTCTAGCAGATTCAAAAAAACCTGCAGGGAGACGTTTAACTTTGCTACAGTGGGGACTAAACCTGGAAGATTTACATACCCTCCCATTAAAGACGATCATAAATTCACATCAGTAATTAAAATTACACAAAATTGAAAAAAATAATAATGAATAAAAACTGGAATAAAATATTGATTTCGAATGTATACAGTGTTGTTGCTGAGGTAATCTTCCTGTCCCGTTTTGCTGAAATCGTTGTCGCAGTGCTACAGTAGCAGCCATTCAAAATGGCCCTTCCCAGTCCAACGGCTGCCGTATGGCAGCCCACTTTCCTCCAACTACCAGTAAATCCCCTCCTACAATCCAGCCACTGGAGTGACCCCCTCTTGCATTTTTTTTTACTCTGACTCCACCCTTTCGCTGAATTGCAGGGTCTGGCAGGGAGACGACGCTTCTCTTCAGATCTTAATGTCCATAAATCATGACAGAATATTTTAGTATTAAGATGGTGTTTGAAAGGAAATTGTAGGGGACCAGCCAAGGGCCCATCAAGGAAAGTGGAGAAATTTTGAATGGCTACTACTGCAGTTAATAGCCCAACAGATTTGCTTTCACAAACAGACCATTATGGTTGTTGCATAAGGTTCTGCTTGATTAGGGCGGCTACTAGTGATTATTTTGCAGATCGATTAATCTGTCAATTATTTTTTCGATTAATCGATTAATATTCGGATAGCCAAAGGTTCCTTAGACTACTAAAGAGTATTTTTTACTAAATTAACACGATTGAAACTAAATCTTTTCACCTGAGGAGTTCTGGAGCGTAATGATAGACAAAAAGGTTTTTATGTATCCTAAATAAAAAATATTTATATAATTTATTTTTCAATCTTGGTATCATTACTGTCAACTAATGACAGGTCTTAGAGTCACTATGCTCCAGTAAACAATCAATTACTAAATTAGTTGACAATTATTTCAATAATCATGAATATTCCAATTAATCATTTCAGCCCTAAATTTTATACTTATAACTGTATTGAAAATAGTTAAGTGAATAAAATGGTATACTAAGGAGACAGACAAGGGAGAGGGGATAAGAAATAAGGGGAGACAGGAAGAGGGAAAAGAGGAAAGAGAAAAAAAAGTGAACAAAAATAAACCCAAACCAAAAAATAAACAATGGAGAAGGTGTACTGTACTGTATTGTAAATCTTCTACAGTGTTGCTTTTAATACAGAGGAAAAGCTACGTGGTTTTAATTAACAAATCTGTGCATAGTTCACATTTTTGTTGCTAATAAAGCTGCTTTTTGTGGTTTTTCACTACTTCTTTTTTACATCCAAGTCAGAATTTTGTTCACTCATCCTTATAAGTAACTGATACTGTCATGGAAGCAGGAGAGGAGTAATTAGTCAGAAGGAACAATGTAAATTAAACCCTACATTTCTTAGGATTTTATACATGATCAGTTATTCTAACTAGGATTAATCTCAACATACACTTTAGATTCCTTTTTTTAATCTGCAAGCAAAGTGGAAAACCATGAAACATTTTTCTTTCCCTTTATGTTGGTTGGTCACGTAAAAGGAAACATGTAAAGGTTTTGGATGTAAATAATGTGAAAATGTTCCAAGGGGTTAAATGCCCTGTTCGTGTTCCTGATGAGACCTAGCGTAGGCTAATCTAACTGTACGCTCCAAGTCCTTCATGAAAATAAAATAATTAATTCATTGTTTCTGTTATATAAGGTTTATTTCTGCTAAAATGGTTTATTTAACCAAGGAAATAATGTTTTATCATCTTTGTTCCTACAGTCATGTTAGCTGGTCTGCATCTTATCAACGGACTGCCAAAGTATAACAGCCTAAAGTTTTCACAATACTATTGTGTCATTGGATTATTTTTAACTGTTAAACCTCAAGTGAAGATGTGGAGAAAAGAGACATTTCCATTTACACCTCCTGTTCTCTCCTCTCTGGTACCTCCTGTTTTGTTCTCTCCTCCCTGTCTGTTTTCTTCA